CAGCCAAAGCAGGGTTGGCATGGAGGAGGACTCGCTGTCGACGGGCGCCGTGGTCTCGATCTCCGTCACCTCGATCATCATCGCAATCCTCCTGCTCGTCGCCCTCACCTGCTTCTGCCGCTTCTCTCCGCTGGCCGCTTCCTCTGCCGCCGGCGCGACTCCGAGCAAGAGCAGCAAGGGCGGCAGCAAGGGCGGCAGCGAGGCCGACGCCGACCTGACGTCAGTCAGTCAGCGACGTCCCAATCCTCCCCCTGCGCCTCCTGTGATGCCGGTCTTCCCTCCCCGCGGGCCGCTGCCCTCTCTGCCCGGCCCAGGTGCCAGCCTCTGACCCGCCCCTGCCGCCCCACGCCCCGACAGAGGGCGCAGCAGCCCGTCGAGTACGGGCGCAACTACCCGTACGCGGGGCCCTCCAAGGGTGGCGACATGACGAGCGACCCGCCGAGCCGCGCCTGCGACGACGTGCCGCCGCCCGAGGCCGAGGACCTCAACCAAGGCTTTGGAGTAGAGCGGGACAGGCACGCCCGCGCCACCCCGATCCCACTGACCCGTCCCGCTGTGCTTTTGATCATAGGTTCTTGGATGGAGTGGGCAAAGGGGTTGATGCGCACGCCCGCAGCAAAAGCGGACACGCCTCTCGCAGAAGGCGGTTTCGCGCCCTCCGAGATCGAGCGCATCTGACGGACAGCGCTCAGTCTGACCGCTTGATGACCGTGCGGCGCCGTCACGGCCTGTGGCTGTAAAGTGCTCCTCGGGCGCACCGCGAGGCGCGGGGTACCGCGTGCGGAGTGGGTGTAGACGCACAGCATCACGTGACGCTTGAGATATGTGGGAGGCGACCCCGGGATATGGTTGCATATATCCGACACACTTGCGAAAGATGGTGTCCTCCCGCCAACGGCCAACCCGGGGTGTGCGTCTGCGTGCTCTGTGCTTGGCTCGGTCCTCGGAATTTTTTCGAGATTCGACATGCAACATGAGCTTGCCTGCGGCGAGGGCGGTCGAATGCACGGAGCTAAGTGCCTCGCCGTCCTCGCGGGAGTCGCTTAGGCGGCTCCCGTGGTGTAACCTGTGTTAGTGCTCCCAGTGCGCGCCAGTCCCGTGCCCAGTGTAAGAAAGAAAGAAAACAGACAACCCAAGGGAGGGATGGGAGGACGGCACGCCGCCACCACACAGGGATTTTAAGTAGAGGAGTGTGGTGCTAGCCGTCGCCCACCCTAACCCTTGGTCGTCTGCCTCTTTCTATCTCCCTTCGCAGTCCCTCGCCGATTCTCGCTGCAACCTTCATGCCAACCTCGGGTCGTCCCACTCTCGTCGTTCTGATCTCCCTCCTGTCGCTTCCTCCTCTGTCGCGTCGCTCTCGTCTGCCTCGTCCTGCGACGCCGCCGCCGCCTGCCGATCCCTTGCTCTCGCGGCTTCTCCCGACTTTCGGCGCAACTCTGCCCTCCTCGCGGCATATTTTGGCCCCTCGAGTTTATCGAGCTCTCCTTGCGCAAGGACGACTCTTCTGACGCCCACTGCGATCATTTGCCGCAAGTCATATCGTTGCTCAGGTCCACTCTCTCTTCGAACACTTGGACCTCCACGGATGATGCTGGCGCTGGGGTCCCCTTCGGGTGCATCGTTACAGCTGACAACGGGATTACCACTGGTTCGTCCTCCTCGGAGTCGTCTTCCCCGGAGTCGTCTTCCCCGTGCGCCTGAGCGCGTCTGCCGGCTGAAAGTCGCCGCGAGGAGGCGCGGCACCATGGTTCTGGTCGCTGCACGCGGGCAACGCGGCGGAGCACTTGGATCACTTGGAGTGCAGTTATCAACCTCACATCCAGGGCCGGGGAGCTAAGAAGCGCACCCAGCGGGCCGGATGATCGGCATCGGGCTACGGGCTAGAGAGCCCTGACCCCTAGGGGGGTGCGCGTTCGCAGGGAAAGGGCCATAAAGTAAACACGGTTCTCCGAGGGTTGGTCTGCGCTTTGGGTTTCCCCTAGCTGCGGAGCGCCCCCTCTACTCGGAGCTACGTATATAATGGACACATCCCTACTCGACGTCACCCCTCAGGCCTCTGGGGCTCTCCTATCCTCCCGGTCCTCCCCCCGGCTCGCTTTCCGCTGGTCGGGCAGCAGCTGCGGAGCCCGCCTTCCCCTCTTATGCTTCTTCGGCCGCGGCCCCACCGCCGTCTCGTCTTCTCTGCCTGATCCCGTTAACTCCGCCTCCGGCGATCCCACGCCCGACTCCCCGGGCAAAGGCGCGGCGGCATTGGGTCGCGTCGCTCCCCCTCCCAGGGAGGTCGGGCCCGCTCTCCCTGGTCGACGAGTCGCGCCCGCACCCGCGGCCTCTCTATCGTCCTCGGCTCACCCCCCCCCCCTCCGCCGGCCCCTCACTAAGCTCGGAGAGGCTCGGTCCTCGGATTTTTCGACATGTAACATGATACGGCTTTGCATGTGCATGTGTTGTGACTTGTGGGTGTCACATAAAATTCTTTTTCCCAGGGAGGGATGGGAGGACGCTCCCGTGGCGTACCTGCGCACTTGGAGCACTTGGAGTGCAGTCATCAACCGCACATCCAGGGCCAGGGAGCTAAGAAGCGCACCCAGCGGGCCGGATGATTGGCATCGGGTTGCGTGAGTGAGTATTCTTGATACGAAACCACGACGACACACACCAGTCGACTCGCATCGGTTGCCTCCATGAACGGCGGAGCTATTCTCGCGCCCACACCACACCTGGCTCCAACGTGGACACGCCCATAGCTGGGGACACTACTAGGTCACGCATGGCATCAGAAGTTTTATCTCTGGGCCCCGAAAGGCATCTCTAGCAGTGTCGTTACGCATGCCCCCTCCCCTCCTGGGCGCATGCGCCTCACGTCTCGCCAGAGCATAAGCCCTTGGCGTGTGGCGAGACGAGTTTTTTGCCATGCAACGAGCAGCAAGCCGCCCGCCGCAAACAGCCGGAGGCATCGCCGCGGCACTGACTGCGCCGCGCTCCCGCACCCGTCGACGAAGCTCCCCCCGCGGAAGACCGCGCGTAGCGACGCCTTGTCGATCGAGATGGGCGCGCCTGAAGCTCGCCCACCTACTGCCCCTGAGAGTTGGTTACGAGTGGGATCAGCTCCCCCCCTTGGGATCGAAGCCGCCACAACCTCACACCCAACATCACAGGTGGGATCAGAGAGAGACTCCGCACCGGACACCGCCCGGGCACAGACTCCCTACCCATCGGATCGCACAGGGCCCCCTAGGAGCAGCCCACACACAATCTCGCATCGGCAGATTGCGCCTGGGTCAGGCAGACAGCAGACAAGGAGAGGAGAGAGGAGAGAGAGAGAGAGAGAGAGAGAGAGAGAGAGAGAGAGAGAGAGAGAGGAGAGAGGAGAGGGTGAGGGTGTGTGCACACGTGTGGAGCAGGGAGGGTGTCTGTGGTGGGCTATAGTCATACTACGTGGTTAGAACCACGCGCCCCTCAGGAGCTTAAGGTAGAGCTGAGCGTCCCAGACGCCTCGGTGCCACCCACCGGCGTGAGACCATCCGGATCAGTCCAGTACGCCCTCCGGGCGAACGGTCCCCGCGATGGCCCACGGTCACACACACACACACACACATCGGGTTGCGGGCAAGAGAGCCTGCGCTAGAATTCTTTTCCCGGAGCCGACGTCGAGCGGGCACGCGGCTTCCGCCCAGCCAGCGCTCCTCTCCTCTGTCGCGCCGCGCGCCGGCCGTTCGCACGATGGACGGCTTCGACGATTCGCTCTTCAGCGCCTTTGAAAGCGCCCCCTCAGCAAAGGTCAGCAGCGGCCTCGCGCTCGACGAGCCGCTCTTGAAGCGGCCGGCAGGAGCAGCAGCTGAGGCCGAGGACGCCGCAGCAAAGGGAAAGCGGCTTCGGGGCGCGCCGGCCGACGCCGAGAAGGACGATGCTGCGCCCGCGCTCGACCCTGGCACCGGTCGGAAGGCGTGCAAGCACGAGGTCGCGATGCCTCCGGGCCTGACAGCGAGCAGCGAGATGGTGCGGCTGCCAAAGAGCACGCAGCCGCCGGCGCGCGAGTACTCGTTCGAGCTCGACCCGTTCCAGCAGGCTGCCGTCAACTGCATAGATCGTGAGGAGTCGGTCCTCGTCTCTGCGCACACCTCTGCCGGAAAGACGGTCTGTGCCGAGTATGCGATCGCCGTGTCGCTGCGCGACAAGCAACGGGTGATCTACACGTCGCCGATCAAGGCGCTGTCGAACCAAAAGTACCGCGAGCTCTCCGAGACGTTTGGCGACGTCGGGCTCATGACCGGCGACTACACGATCAACGTCGACGCCTCGTGCCTCGTCATGACGACCGAGATTCTGCGCTCGATGCTGTACCGCGGCTCCGAGGTGATGCGCGAGGTCAAGTGGGTCATCTTCGACGAGGTGCACTACATGCGCGACAAGGAGCGCGGCGTGGTGTGGGAAGAGGTCATGATCCTGCTGCCGCACTCGGTGAGGTACGTCTTTCTCTCGGCGACCATCCCTAACGCGCTGCAGTTTGCACAGTGGATCGCCGCGCTCCACTCGCAGCCCTGCCACGTCGTCTACACAGACTACCGGCCGACGCCCCTCCACCACTACATGTTCGGCGCCGGCGCGAACGGCTTCCACCTCGTCGTCGACGAAAACTCGGAGTTCAAGCCCTCCGGCTTCGAGAAGGCCACCGCGAAGCTGAGCGGCGGCGGCGGCGGGCGCGGCGGCGGCAAGGGCGGCAAGGGCGGCGGCAAGGGCGGCGGCAAGGGCGGCGGGAAGGGTGGGCGTGAGAAGGGCCCGTCGGACTGCTTCAAGCTGGTGCGGACTGTGGTGTCGATGGGAATGGAGCCGCTGATCGTCTTTGCCTTCGGCAAGCGCAAGGTGGAGAAGCTGGCGGAGGAGATGGGCACGCTCGAGCTGACTGTCCACACCGAGCGGGAGTCAATCACGCAGATCTACGAAAACGCCATCCAGACGCTGTCGGACGACGACCAGGTGCTGCCGCAGGTCGAGAAGATGCTGCCGCTGCTCCAGCGGGGCATCGCCGTCCACCACTCGGGGCTTCTGCCGCTGCTCAAGGAGCTCGTCGAGATCCTCTTCCAGGAGGGGCTCGTCAAGCTCCTCTTCGCGACCGAGACCTTCGCCATGGGCCTCAACATGCCCGCCAAGACCGTCATCTTCGCCGAGCTGTCCAAGTTCGACGGCGCCGCCTTCCGGCGCGCCCCGCCGCCCAGTGGACACACCCCGCACGCGAGCCCGCCCGCGTGAGGCCGAGGCGCGTCAGGCCGAGGCGCGTGAGGCCGAGGCGCGTGAGGCCGAGGCGCGTGAGGCCGAGGCGCGTGTCTGCAGGTACCTCTCCTCGGGCGAGTACATCCAGATGAGCGGCCGCGCGGGCCGGCGGGGGCTCGACGCGCGAGGGACGGTCGTGACGATGGTCGACGGCTCGACCGACTTGGCAAAGGTGCGGGAGATGCTTCGAGGCGAGGCGGACTCGCTCTCCTCGCGCTTCCACCTCTCGTACAACATGCTGCTCAACTGCGTCCGCACCGAGACGGCAAACATCGAGAACCTGATCGCAAAGTCCTTCTACACCTTCCAGCTGCAGCAGGCGAAGCCCGACCTGGAGAGGCGGCAGCGCGAGCTCTCGGCGCAGCTCGCCTCGCCCGACCTCGCCGTGGACGCGAGGCTGCTCGAGGTTC